ACTTTGCTCATTTCCCCAGGGCTGACAGTATGCAGGATATTGATAAGCACACAGTCTATGGTGTTGATACCATGTGATACAATGTATCTCCTTCAGGGGCAGGTTTGACTTGTGCTGTGTGCGAGTTTAGCTCTATGAGCTCAGGCAGGTCTGGGCATCCACCACCGCAGTCAGGATGCAGAGCCTCCCCCACACTGTCCCCAGATGCCTCACCTGGTCCTCTTGTAGCCACCCGCCTCCTGTTCCCCATCCCACAACTCATCATCTGCTGAGGAGCATCTTCACCCGGCCCCAGTGGCACCCCAAGTACGAAGTTGGCTCCTCTATTCAGGAATTCTCCCTCATCCTCCTCTCCAGCCCTGACTGATTCCAGGAGCAAGATCATAAAGGTGGCTGGGAGCAGCTGGCACCTGGTGCCTGCTTTGGTGTGGCTGAGCCCTTCTCCCCTCAGCGCCTGGCAGGGTGGACGTGCAGAGGCCTGGCCGGCGGCTCTTTGGGCCACGGCACAAAGGATGGAGGCTTGAGGACCCAGGGGGCCTGTGTCCAGTGGCCACCCTCTCCCCATGAGCACATGCCCTTGGGCAGGCCGTGCACTAGGTGCCCAGAGGCTCGAGCCAGGGGCAGAATCCTCATGTAGTGGAGTCGAGGTGTCCTGGGAGGGCAGCGAGCCTGAGGAGAAGCTTCCTTGGTGTTGGGGGAGAGCTGGTCCCCGAGAGGGCATGTGGGCAGGGCCGAGTTCTCCATGGTCCCTCCACTGTCCCCTAGGAAGATGTCGCAGGCCAGAATTGGGATGCCCCTGAGGGATCGTCTCTGCCCGTCATGGGGGTCAGCCCCCGGCAGCCGAGCGCCATCCCACTGCCTCGTGCTTACAGGAAGAAGAGCAAGGCGGCCCCTGGGGTTGGCTTCTGGTGCCCGTCAGAGGGACTCTCTTTCTCCCTTCTTCTCGGGGTCACCAGGAGGAGGGCAGCGACGTCCTCCCACCCAAAGGGCCACATGGAGGCAGGAGGTTGGCTGAGGTTGCTTGGACGTGTTTTCAGGGTTCCTGACCATCCCTCCCCTCACACGCTCTCCTTCACACTCACACACTCACATTCACACACATGTTCACACTAACACACAGCTGCTCACCCCCGGAGGCCCTGGTCTCCCTCCAGCTCCGGCTCCGGCTCCCGGGCCGCCGTCCACGTGGTGCAGTTTTCCTGCGGTGGCCGCAGGGCCAGCAGGTTTAGTGGCTTCTCCTTAAAGTCCCGCCACACAATAAAGGAGGAACCGGAGCAAACCGCATATTGACTCAGAGAAATTCCCTCACGCTCCCCCGGCCGCGGATCAAGGCTTGAATCTGCCAAATTCAGCCCGGTGACGAGCAGCCGGGAGCTGGAGCTTCGGGGAAGGCCCGTGGTCTTTGCACCGCTAGTCATTGCCCTCCCGGGACGCCGCTTATGAGGCCACGGCCGGCAGCCAGCCAGCCCCACGGGGGCCGCGCGGGAGGGACCCTCTGCGCCGGCTGGTTGAGCACAACAGCCCTAATTTGGGGCCCCTTCTCTCTCCAGACCCTGAAATCCTGGCTGTGGGTTTGAGGTTTCCACGGGGCTCTCTGGGGAGACGGTGGGGGCGGCTTCTGTTTGGGGATTATTTGCTATGATCTGGGTGAGAGAGGGCAGGAGGCTCCCGCTCTGAGGCCGGAAGATACCCAGCCCTAAACTAAGGGTTCGGAGTGGAACAGGGGCAGGGTAACGGCGGAGGACACAGTGGCTCCCCTCCCTCACTGTCCCCAGCCTGGGGAGCAGCTGTGTTTCTTGACTTCGGTGTGTGAGAAACCTCCAAGTGGGGTTTCAGTTCACCAAGAACACCCTGACCCCGCTGGGACCCGGCGCCTGCGGCAGGTGTTCCCTGGCCTGATCTCGGCGGCCGGGGCTCGGGCTGGCTCGGCTCACGGGCATCCAGGCCCTCTTTCCCCTCCTCCTGTCACCCCCGCGCCCCTCCCCACCACTCTCCTCCCTGCTTTTGTCATTTTGGTAGGTCTCTCCAAAGAATTTTTAGGAATGATGGACTCAGTCACAAACTCCGAGCCTGAATCTACCGCAAAACCCAAGCAAGGGACCTCAGGTCTCCTGACGAGTAAACAACACACCGCAGCAGAGCCTGTCTCTGGGGTTGTAAGCTCATCTTGGTGCTGCATTCCGGCCTTCGAGAGCGCGCCGGCTGGAAGTGCTCCGGCGGGCAGGGGCCTGGGCGGCAGGGTCGGGGAGACGCACCCACTCCCTGGAAATGCACGGCCAGTGTGGGGCGGGGGGCTCGGGCCCGGGCCGGCCGTCTCAGGGGGCATCCTGGCTGCAGCCCGGGGCCGAGGAAGGGTGACCTTCCCAGCCAGCCTCTCCGGTTGCTCGGGGCCCTGGGAGCTGGGCAGTTTGTGCTCGGCCCGCCCCGCAGGCCCTGGCCGCCTGCAGCAGCTTTCTGTTTCTCCAGGGCCTCGGGGGCTGCTCACGGCACCTCATTTTCTCCAAATGTTTTCTGCACACTAATTAGGCCTTGTCTCATCCACCTTTGAAAGAAGCGCTCTCTGTCCGCCAGCAGTGGGGGCAGCGGGTTGGAGACTCACTTGGGTTTTGCTGGTGGCTTCGGGCAATCACTTAACCCCTGTGACCGCCGGGGGTGGGAGGCCGGGCTGATGCACAGCCTTCCTTTAATCAGCAGGAAACACCACCTTTTTCTCCTAAGCTGTTTGCTCGGCCAGTAAATTAAACATGCTTTGAAAGCGTTGATTTTCCTCCAGTAGGTGAGGAGTTTTGGGAAGTAGAATTCAAACAGAAAAAAGAACCTGAAAAAGAGACCGGCGATGAATGTGCGGGGCTGGGGGCACTTGCCCGCTTTCTGCGCAGCAGAGCTCACGCACACAGCAGCTCTGGCTCCTCCTCGTCCTGCAAGGCATCGCATCGCGCCTGGAGGAGTTCAGGAGGCGCGTTGGGGGGCCCTGCGGCTTCCAACCTGATTCTGTTTGCGAGCTCTGCGCAGTTACCAGCTCCAGATCATAAGGTGGCACGTTAATTACCCCCCCTTCTAATTTACCTTTATGCCGCGTGCGCAGTCCCCGCGAAGGTTTGTGGGGGTGTTCTTTCAAACCTAAACAACTTCAGATCTCGAGGGCGGAGGGAACAACAGCCACAGCTCTGTTGTTGCATCTCTGAAAGGATCCCACGAGTCAATTAAAAAGGAACCGTTGGCCACTTAAAACATAGTAATTACTTCTGTGAATGCTGCTAAATTAAATAAGTGTTATCCCCATGATTTTTTTTTTTCAAGACTTTGGTTTCTTTTGAAAGAAAACATTTTGTTGCTTCTCAAGCGGATCTGTTTGCAACCAGCATGAGGAACCTGAAGTCATTTTTCTCGTACTTAAAACTTCCCGTCTCCCTGGAGACGTCCATCTCCCCAGCCGACGTCAGGGAGCAGGGAGGGGGCCTCGAGACAAGCGCCCAAGTGACCACAGCTTTCGGGTCACTTTCGCAGGTTTTCAAGCCTGCGCAGAAGGAGGGGACATGAGCAGAAATGTCTAGATCAGGGGTCCGCAGGCTCCAAGCAGCAGAGTAAGCCCAGCTCCCACCCCTCCTGCTCCCCCCATCCGCCCTTCTGCGCCTCTCTGACTTTTTCTTTATTGAGGTGAAGATCACATAACGTAAAAATTAGCCATTTTAAAGTGTATAATTCAGTGGCGTTTAGCACATTCACCATGTTGTGTAACCAACACCTCCGTCTAGTTTCAGAACATTTTCATCCCCCAGGAGCCCGGTGCCCATCAGTCGGTCGGTCAGTCCCCACCCTCTCCGCCCCCAGCCACTGCCCACGTGAATTCCGCCACTGCAGATTTGCCCATTTTGGACGCTCTATAAATGGAGCCATACGGACGTGGCCTTTCGTGTCTGCTCCCCTCACTCAGCGCCGGGTTTTTCAGGCTCCTCCACGTTGTAGCGTGAGTCAGTGCTTCAGTCCTTTTGGAGGCTGAGTCGTTCTGCTGTGTGGAGCCACGATTGGTCTATCTGCTCATCTGCTCTCTCCCCCTTTGGGGGATTGTGGCTGACGCTGCCGTGAGCAGTCACCTGTCTGAGCCCCTGTTTTTAGTTCTTTCCGGTCAACACGTAGGAGTGGACTTGCTTTCCTGTTTGTCCTCCTTCTTGCTCTTCCTGTCCCTTCTCCAGGGACAGGAAGTTTTACCATCTCCTCGGGGCCTCAGGCCACCCTCTGCTGCATGTCCAGGTGGGGCTATCTTGGCACCAACTATCTCTTAGGACAGATCCCAAAGAGAGGCCCACACGAGACACACAGCTGGGGTCGCTCTTGTTCAGTCCCGTGACCTGCAGCCCCTTGAGTCCCGTGTTCATGACCTCAGCAGGCTGGTGTCCTACCTGCGATGACGTCATCGGGGACTTCAGGAAGCCTCCCCAGCGCCCGCCGGGCCCCCCGAGCCAGCCAGAGGGCCCAGGTGTGGGGGCACATTTCACAGCAGCCCAGATTCTGAGTCCTCCCAAGAATGGGATGTGTCTCCATTCCCGAGGCTACCGACACGAACTGGAGCGGTTCCAGAATGACTATTTCACCATCAGCCCTGGGTTGGGTGCCCAGTGTGACCGCTTCCTCACTGTCCCCAAACTTGTAGCGAATGGGCAGCTCCTTTCCCGGCCGTCCTAAAGCAGAACAGGCAGACGTGTCCCAGGTCGCTCATGGGACCGCCGTGAGACTCAGGGAGAAAGTGCACTGTGGGGTTTCCACAGGCTGGTTCCTGGAGCAGGCTGGGGTACGCGCATCCCTGGGCGCCTCTCACGCGGAGTGCTTGGGTCAGAGCCGAGGTGATGTCTCCCAGGCAGTGGGGGTAGGGAGCAGCCAAGTGGCTTCTGGGCCCCTTGGAGACCTCGGTTCCTATTCCGTCCCATGTCCCAGTGGTCCCTGAGCCTCACACACTGGGGACGCGCGTGCTACAGAGCTTGACACTGCATTGTTTCCTTCAGGTGACGGCGACATTGTAAATAATATGTATGAGCCTGACCCGGACCTGCTGGCTGGCGAGAGTGCCGAGGACGAGACCGAGGAGAGCATCATGTCCCCCATCCCCATGGGGCCGCCGTCCCCCTTCCCCACCAGCGAGGACTTCACCCCCAAGGAGGGCTCGCCGTACGAGGCCCCTGTCTACATTCCTGAGGACATTCCCATCCCTCCAGACTTTGAGCTCCGAGAGTCCTCCATCCCAGGGGCCGGCCTGGGGATCTGGGCCAAGAAGAAGATGGAAATCGGGGAGAGGTTTGGCCCTTACATGGTGGCGCCCCAGGCCACGTTGAAGGAGGCAGGCTTTGGATGGGAGGTGAGCATTCTCGTGTGAGCGTGATTGATCACGGCCATTTGTCTTGTGTTCCATCTATTTATAAAGCCGGGCTGAGCAGCCGCTGCCCGAGGCGGGAGGCTGGGTCCATTCGAATGTTACATTTCTCAGGCTTATTTTGCCCTGGAGCTTGCATGACGCGACTCGGAAAACACCAGAGGTCCTCGTGGGCGCCCGTCAGCCCCCACAGGCCCGCCTGCTCTCTTCCCGGAAATGTGTCTTTAATGAGCTCATGTCTTAAAACACCCCATGCTTCCCGTCTGGATCTTAGGTGCTAAGGCTGCAATCTCGGCAGAACAGCGTAGATTAATGGAATGTCCCACAGCAAGAGTCTCTACTCCGGGGAAAGCCGCAGATGGGGTCCTAGATCCTGGGGTGAGCAGCATGGGCGGCTCATAGAGCTCGTCTGGTGGCTGTGCAGCCCAGGCCTCCTGTGCACACCAACGTCCAGGCCTCCTGTCCCCTGTGCCAGGTCAGCCAGCTCACTAAGAGGGGCCCCCACTGCCCAGATTCGTGGGGGCCTAAGTCTCATTCTGCCAGAGAGAAGCATCTTCTGGTTTAGATTCCCCTAAGGATTTGGGCCTGGCTCGACAGTCCGGGAGCCCGTGTACTGTCCGGAAAGGGGAGGCCTGTTAGGTGAGGGGATGCTGACCGCCCCAAAGGTGCCCCTCCTTCCAGCAGTGTCCTGCTCAGGCCACGAGGGATGCTGGGCCCCATTTTGGGGGTTTTCAAGGTGGTCTCACGAGGACCACAAGCCTGCAAGCATTTCCCCGCTGGTCTCGGCCTTTCTGCCGGCCCCACACTGCCAGTTTTCAGTGGTATTTTTGGCAGGGACCCTGCCTGTGTGGAAAGTTCAGATACAAACCCAGATTGCTTCTGGGTGTTTCACAACTCCCAAAGGGTTGCATGGAGGTCAGCTCTAGAAAGGGCGCACAGTTCAAAGAAGGGAGAGGACCCTGTGTGGCCGGGCAGCCGTGTCCCCTCACGTCAGGGCCCTGGGGAGTTAGGGTTGGGGGAGTCACCTCTCCCAACCTCTCGGTGGCTCTGGACCTGTCCCCACAGTGTTCAATGTTCTCTGCCGAGTGAGGGAAGAATTCAGGCCTTCTGTGCGCGCTCTCTCTCTCTCGGCTTTATGGTTTGTGAACGTTGTGCTTCATGCCTCCCTGGCTCCCTGGAGATTGCGACCCACAAGTGCAGGCCCTCCCTCCCTTTGGGAAGCTCCGGGTCCAGCATCCTTGAGCACCCCCCTGGGCCATGAGCACTTACAGCCCTCCCTAAGGCTCTCAGGGAGGCTGGGTGTGCTGACGCACATGTCGCTGGCAGAGGAGGCTGCCCACAGCCTGGCAGAGCTGAGGCCATCACGCCCTTCACCAGGAGACGAGGTGGCTGTGCCCCTACACACTGAGACTTTCCAGCAGGCGGAGGAGTCTGGTCCATGGTTGCAATGGGGTGTGGACCCCGGGGACACAGAAGCTCCCTGCCCGAAGCTTAAAGCCCCACGCTCTTCAGAGGGCTTTGTATGTTTAGCTGGGAGGAGGGTTGGCCAGATGACACCGGAATTCACCACAGTCCAAAACAGGGGGAGCTGCAGTTCAGCGAGCTGGGGAGCGTGAGCCGGGCGTGCACCTGCCGTCCCACAGTGGCAGACACAGCGTGTGCTGCTCGAGGTCAGGGCCCCCTTCAGGACAGACCGGCCCGGGGCCTGGGAGCAAGGTGAGGCAGGAAGCCAGGGCATCTGGAAACGCAGCCCTCGCGTGGGTGCCTGGGCCCTCTTTCCCGGCCTGTGGGGTCTTCCCTTATGGGACCAGGGAGAGCACTTTCAGACAACGGGACGGGTAACTGTTCTGAGGTGGCTTTGTGCAGACTCAGCCTGCCTGACCCTCCCTGCCTGGCTGTCTGGCAGAGGAACGTAAGGGTGTTTGTCTGATGAGCTCAGAAAGGTCTGGGCTGTTCAGTCAGTAGGGGCATCTGGATGTTGGACAGTGAACACACCCTCCAGGTGGCACGTTGGATGACCTTGAGGTGACTTTGTCCTTGCCTGCTCTGATACAAGTTTCTGTCTGCTCGTTTTTCTAAAGAAACGCTCCCTATCGCCGCCGCTCGGGGCCGGCCTGGTACAGGCTGTGGCTATTATCTGCCCCGTGCCTGTTGACTTTGCGATACTGGTCCTTCTCCACGGACGTGAGGGAGCGTTCTCGCTCCGCGTGCGCCTCCCGTTTCTGCAGCGGGCTTTGTTCCGAGGCCTGACCTGACAGCGCCTTTCATGCCAGCACTTGGAAATATTTGCCCTGAGTCCGACGTCCTCAAATAGTGTTCCAGACGCGCCCGACCGTATCTCGTCCGCCCTTGTTTTCCTTGCGAGCTCAGGCACCGATTACCCGCTCCGTGATCCGTTTTTGGGCTTGTGGCCGAAATCCGAGGGGCGGGGGCAGTTGTTTGCGTCCTTGCGATTGAGAGCCAATGACAGGTTTGGATGGGAAGCCACCGCCTCCCACCGTGAAGGTGCGAGCGGGACGTGCCCCCAAACATTCAGGGCGAGCCCATTTCTGCCTGAAATAAGTCACGAGCTCGAGGAGGTTTCTTTGGCTCTATGGACCGCAGTTGGGATCCTTGGGGAAGAAAACCAATCGTCTTCCCTCATAAGCAGCCTTTCTGGAATTTCCCACATGGATCCTGAAACCGGTTCTTGTCGATTCTTGGTTTTTTTCCCGCCTTCCTCTAGGATGATGGGCGGCTCGGGAGAGAGAAGGGACGTGTGCCCCTTCAGATAGGCCCGTCCTTCCTTGGCTCTGTCTGCAGACAGCGCCTGAGGCGGGGAGCAGAAAACCCAGGCGCCAGAGCCCGGATCTTTCTGTGCTTCTGGACGGGAGAGGGGCCTCTAGTGAAGCCCGAGTGGCTAAAGCAGACAAGGCGGCCTGGGCACCCCACCGTCCTGTCCAGGCTCCTGCAAAGACGCTGTCCCTGGGCTGCAGTGAGCTCGGCCCAAAGCAGGTGGGAGACAAAGCAAACAGCTAGAGTCGTGCGCGCAAAGGCATCGTATCAGCAGGGCGAGCCGGGCCAGGCTGGGTACCGGCAGAGGCCGCCCAGGGACAGCAGACGAACCTGCATGATCTTACGCGGGTCCTGAATTTTACATGTGTAATTATTCACTCCCACTCTGGTAATTAAATCTTATAAAGCAGAATAATGTGGTTTTCCTACACTTTACATGGTATTCACTTACTAAAACAGAACAGGTAGTGACATTTTAGCAAAGATGACAGAGGAAATCGAGGAGGACCCAGTGTCATTCAGACTCCCAGGGGGATGGCCGGCATGGTTTTGTGGCCCGTTCCAGCTCCAGAGGGTGGTTTCTCCTGTTGGGTCAGATCCAGGAGTCGCACAGAGGGAGAAACCAGCGGGGTCTCCCATAGGCACGGGCAGGTGACCCCGGGAGGACTGGCTTAAAATCACTGTCAAAGAGACTACGCTTACTGTCATTTGGGGCACTGTGGGAACAATTTTCTTTCTACTCTGAGAACAAAATTCTTGTTCTGGGTCCTTCCATTCAAGTAAAATCCAAATGGTCTGGTTTCCTTTTCTCTTTCGTGGTGGACACAACATCTAACCAGCACACAGTTTCTGGGCCTCCACCACTCCAGCAAAGGCCCTAGCCTGGCACACTGGGGCCCACATGGATGACCCACGACCCTTGGGGTCAAGGTGGCGGGGGCATCCCTGTTTCATGCAGGAATTTTTCTTCAGCCAACGGGAACTCGGGGTGGCCGGGAGCTGAGCCGGCCCCTCCCACTGTTCACTCACTGTGGGTCCTTCCGCCCTCCCTGCGCTGACCGGCGGAGCCCCTCCCCCCCTCCTCCCATGTTGGCACCAGGAGCGCTCAGCGACTCCTCTGTGGGCACACCAGGAAGTGAGTCCCCGTCATTCTGGAAGAAGATACACCCCGTGTCTCTGTGTCCCTCCACACCCCAGGCCTGGCCCACCCTGTCTGGAGGGACAGGTGGGAGCGTGGGGTGTGTGGAAATGGCCCCCTGGGCTCCATCTCAAAGGGGGGTGGTCTGTCCCCGACCGAGGAGGATGCCCCAACTCCCAGCCCCCTCCTTCCAGACGCAGCGGCGGCTGAGGCAGCCACCACTCACGCTGCCCAGGATAAATCACCCCTGATTGCATTTTATTGCCCTGGGGTCTGAAAAACAATGATTTTGATCATTTGTGGAGTAAATCATGACATTTATCATCGTGCTGTTTATTTTGCTAATTAAGAGATGACTGCCAGTGACAGCCCTGAGGGAGGCCGGCTGTGGAAGCAGGCTCCTCAGAAGTGCCACCTGCCCCCTGGGCAGGGCCCTACAGCTGTGTACCCGGGGCTTGCGGCTACGGGGCCTGCAGGGTGGTGGGAATACTGTGCAGGACCCCCAGGGAAGGCGGAGGAGCAGTTTCACACTGAGAGTGTCTGTGCTCTGCTAGGCTCGCGGTTGAGCGCGTGCCTGACCCAGAAAGTCAGCATTGCCCAGCCTGTAACCTGCGCTCAGACATGATCTGTTGAATAAATGTGTCTGCCTCTGTTTAAGAAGCTGGTGGAAAATGTTAACGTGAATTGATGGGGTTTCAATTATCTGAAGAATTTACTCATGTGGATTACCTCATCCCCTTGGCTTTAGTTCCTGAATATTAATACACATGTTCGTTTATTCAGTCAACAAACAGTCTGTGTCTGGGCCAGGGCCTGTGGGAAGTTCCAGGATCACAGGGGAAACAATCTGAGGCCTCAGGCTGCCTTGATTCTCCGATGCTACAATTATGTGGTCCCTAAGCCTGCTCCTCTGGGGTCCCCGGGGCCCCCTGGGAGATTTTGGTGAGGGCCGGGACCCGCTGCCCCCACCTCTACTCCCCAGGGCTCCCCACCTCCAAGGACAGGAGGCATCTGTGTCTACCTGCCTGGGTTTGGCAGCTTTGGGGACCTGGATCAGTGAGTGGATGCTGAG